CCCGCCGAGGGTTTGGATCCCATATACAGACCGGCCGCTCACTGGCTGAGCATGGTGCGGACGCAACACCGAAGGGTTGCGATCCCGTTGCCGGTCCCAGTCCGGTGTGGGCGCGACACTGAGGGTTGCGATCCCTTGCCGGTCACGAAAAAAGACAAAAAGGAAAAAAAAAAAAAAAGATGACCGGTAAGGGGATCTCAACCCTTGACTTGGTGTTGTCAGCACCATGCTGAGCCAGTGAGCTAACCGGCCATCCATATACAGGATCCGAACCCGTGGCCTTGGTGTTATCAGCACCACACTCTCCCAAGTGAGCCACGGGCCGGCCCCCAAGCCCACTTTCTGCAGACTGCCGCAGAGGCCGTCTTGGGCTTCCATCTTCCCCATAATGGTCCAGCATAGGGGATTTACAGTTTACAAGTGTTTTTACTTCTTTTTTTTTTTTTTTTAAAAAGATGACCGGTAAGGGGATCTTAACCCTTGACTTGGTGTTGTCAGCACCACGCTCAGCCAGTGAGCAAACCGGCCATCCCTATGTGGGATCCAAACCCGGGGCCTTGGTGTTATCAGCACCGCACTCTACCGAGTGAGCCACGGGCCGGCCCAAGTGTTTTTACTTCTGAAAGCCCACTTGATGCTTATAAATGAGCAGACTAAGGGGCTGGTTGGTTAGCTCTATTGGTTAGAGAATGGTGCTAATAACATAAAGATCCAGGGTTCAATACCTGTACCAGCCACTCTCCCCATCCTATGGATGGTGCCTAGGTTGACCTGCCTTCTCCTTGCTGGCTACCTTAAGGTGGGTCCCGGAATAGGTCTCAAGCAGTTCAGTCACATGGTCTCTGCCTGGTGGTCACCTGCACCTTCTACCCACCGTGGAGTCTGAGTGGGCGGAGGGGGTGGTCAAGGTTAGCAGAGGGTCCTTGTTACTGGAGAGTGGACCACAGAATGGTGTCTGGTAATGGCTTTAACTGGGGAGGAGAAACTGAGTCAGATTTCTATGGGCATCTGTCAGGTTATAAGGACAGGGATGGGAATATTCCTGGTCTACCCTGCTTTCTGGCAGGCCAGAACTCTGTTTGGGGAGACTTAACAATACTTCAGTGGAGGAATGTGAAGAGGCCGCAGTAGGGATGGGAGCTGAGAAGGGTTAGGGCAGGCAGTCAGGAGGGCTGTGATTCCAGCTGTCTTATCAACTGGTGCTCCTGGACAGTTGCCTTCCTTCTGCGTGCCCCATGGGTGAATTCTCTGGTCAGACTCGACTCCTACTTATTACAAAGAGGTCAGAGGCTGAGCGTGGGGTCCTGGCCTTGGTAGTGCTAAGGAGGGCAGTAGGGGCCTTCCTTCTATTCTCTGACCTAACTTTCCCCCTGAAACTGAGTTCCTTTAGAGGAAGTGTTTTCAGTTAAAATCCAAAGGGGAAAGTTAGGACATTTTGGGAGAACCCCTTTCATCCAAGACTCTTCCAGATAACTTTTTCACTGTGTGTACCTCCCCATGCTCACCATGGATGTTTAAATCTTGAGCTGATGATAGTCACCTTACACTAAAATAGTAAATAAATATTAATCAAACCTAAACAGAGAATCAAATGAATCCTTTAGAGGCCATATGGGGGCTTAGCTATCCTAGACCTGCTGGCCTGCCTGCATCACACAGTGAGGCCCACGACTGGAGGATGCTGCCACTATCATGCGTCCCAGAGCTGTCCTGGGCCTCGTCTCCACCTTCAGGGGTCATCCTTTCCTCCTTGCCCCAGTGCCATGTGGTCAGTCAAAACCCCTAGCATGAGTGGCTGGGTCTCTAGTCAGGATGCAGTGCAGGTTGGAAAGCCCACCCAGGCAGGAGCAGGAGCCTCCATTTCCCTCTCTGTTGGGTTCATATAGCCATCCAAAGTAGCACAGGACAGCCAGGTGGGCACCTGGACCACCTCTCCCACTAGCACATCCAGCTAAAAACTGGAGACAGAACATCAGAAGTCTGGAGATGCAGAGATTTCTTTTAAGAGGCTGGAGGGTGGCACCTGGGGAAGGTTCAGAGTCAGAAGCCAGAAGATACACCTCCACTGTGGCAAGCCTGTCTGTACATGTGTTTGGGGTGAGGAGTGGGTAGCTGAGCCTTGTCCCTCTAGCTCATCTTTCACCAGTATTCTGTAAAAATCATCCCATGGCACTATGCTGCTTAAAATCCTTCAATGTTGCCCCACTGCCCAAAGCATTAAGTCCAGGCTCTTTAGCAGACACTTTGCTCCAGGTTACCTACCTTGCTTTGTTTGGAGACCCACTGAACACTCACTTTCCCTGGCACACATGTTCTTTTAGGTCACTGTACCTTTACATTTGTTCCCTCTGCTTGGAATATTCTTCCTCATCTTTAAACATTCCCTTGACTTTTTATTTATTTATTTTATTTTATTTTATTTTATTTTATTTTTAAAAGATGACCGGTAAGGGGATCTTAACCCTTGACTTGGTGTTGTCAGCACCATGCTCATCCAGTGAGCAAACCGGCCATCCCTATATGGGATCCGAACCCGTGGCCTTGGCGTTATCAGCACCGCACTCTCCCGAGTGAGCCACAGGCCGGCCCCTCCCTTGACTTTTTAAAGATTCAGCATGAATCTCTCATGCTCCCAATGCCCTTCTGTTAAACAGGGCCTTGTTCATGGCAAGCCCTCAGCAGATGGCAGCTGAGTGAAAGGCTGACCCAGAAGCAAGGGTTACTCTCCTTGTCTCACTTCACAGAGGACTGAGGATGGCAGAGGTGGGCACAGGCCTCAGATCCTGAGAACTGTAGTGAGCAGGTGGGGCTGGAGAGTTCCACTGTTGGGAAGGAATCCTCTCATGATGTAGGAGGGATACAGAGGAGACAGGGAGGAGGGTCTAGATACAGTGGTCACCTCCTTTATGGAGACTTTCTCTTTAGCATCAGCCTCCTCTGAAGTGGGGTGGGAGGGATCCCAGCATCCTCTTGTTGGGGTTGTGTGAGAGAACGGCAGCTGGGAGAAGTTCCTGTGCTTCAGCACTAGAAAAGATGGAGGGAGCTGAGCTGGGTACTCAGCTTTGTTGAGCCATTGTCTAATACCTAGCCCTCTGCTACCTGCCACTGCCCATCTCCCCTGGGACACTCAGATGCCCCATGTCACACAGATAGGATTCAAGTTAAGGTTGTCCTGACCAAAATTTCTTTCCTGGCCCCCAATACACACAACGTTCCAGCAGTTTCAGGTGTTGGGTAGCTCAATGGCAAATGGCTTGGTTTGGAAGTGGTCAGGTTCTATTCCCTTAAACAGCACAGAGAAACAGGGAAACCAGTGCCAGGGTCAAGGGTCCAGAATGTTGCCCAAGACCATCCCATGTGAGTTTCTCACAGGCCAAAGAAAGGTCATTCCCTTACTTTGCAGTGTTGGTAATCTTTCTGCAGGGCTTAATCAAAGAAGAGCAAATTCTTCACTTCTGCTTCAATGCCACATTACCCCTGGAATTTTAACACAACCAGGAAGAAAAGGACTCAGCTATACCAAGAGTATATCAAGACATCATTAAAGTGGCCACAGCATTTGAGGAGCCCAAAAAATAAAGAAAAAGTCCTGGTTATATTTGAAAGATTTGTTATAATGAACCAGAAATACAAGATTCCACCGCAAGTAGAACAGTTGACAGAATATGGTTAAACTTAATTAAACCTTCAAGGGAAATAAGAACGTCACACAAAGCCAATGCATAGACAAGCCCAAGACTGGTTTGGGATAAACATGAGGATAACTGCATTTCAGCATGGGTATCTTCCGAACTCTCCCAGCAGTTAGTCTGCCATCCTTCTCCCTTTTGACACATCTGCCAAACCAAATAAATGGCTTCTATATTGTAGGTGTAGGCCAACCCAATAGTATGTCTTTGGACATGATGCAAAGCCAAAAGGAAAGTTTATGAATCTCATTTGAGGTTGGAGAGTGCAGGTATTCCCAACCCAGAATAATGGTTACTATCTGTGGTGTCAACACATACGGTAGTAACTTCAAGCAAATCAGAGATGCTACCACATGTAAACTGTTATGTGGCCCTGTAGCACTGTCCATGTACCCAATTTACTATGCTAAATTATCAACATGGCAGAATGTGTTTTTCATCTCCCTATTTTCTAAACATTCTAAGAGGTTATTAAAGAGGACGCAGAACAGATCTCTACCTCACAAAGCTAGGCATCAGGGAGGAACACTGATGGGCTCCTTCTGGGATCTTTTTGTTGGGGGACACAGAAATGAATAGAAGAAATGTTACAATGTCAGAACATTATGACAGGTGAGGGGAGGCAGAGGTAGAAAGAGGGTGTTCTAGCCACAAGGTCAACACACGTTGAAAGAGACGTCTGGGCGAAGGAGGAAAAAAAAAACCAAACCAAATCAAAGGAAAAAAGGGTTTCATACAACACAGTATCAAAAAGTAAAAGGAACACACTAAATGCACAAACTGGTGGCAAGTAAGTCCAAAGCCTATTGTGATAAGTCCTTCTAGCATCAATCAGGCTTCTTCTCATCTGTTATTTCAAGGTTATTTACAGATGTGGTAACTTTAACAAGAGTCTCTCACAGGAGGGTGGGCAGGCTTTAATCATTGGTTTCGGGATCTGTCTGCGCCATGTAAGCATCCAACTCAGCATCTAGGTGTCCTTTCGTTTTCGACATGTATGCATCCAACTGGTTGTCCAGCTGCTCCTTGGTCAATACAGGGCGAGCAAGGGCACCTCTTCCTCTTCCACGGCCTCGACCTCTGCCTCCAAAGCCCCCTCTTCCCCGACCTATCATACCCCGACCTGGCCCAAGGGGGAAAAAAAAAAAGACAGTTACAAGTAGGTTTAATGGGTGCTATAATAAATGCCCCTTTCAGCAGTGGGGCCTAGCTGAGAAAAGCTGAAGGGCAGGGCAAAGAAGAGGAGAAATCTGGAAAAACAGGAAAGACAGTGGGTAGAAAGCAACACATGGAAAGCACACATAATGAACCCTTTATTACATGCTCATCTCTAAATACTATTTAAAAAAATCTATTCTATCAACAAAGAAAATTAACTGAAAATTATAATTTAAAAAAATCTTAATCTCTCCTATGATAAAGAAATTGCCTAGTTTGAGACCTACTATAAGTTCAAAATTAAAATACATTATAGATAACCTCATTTATTGAGGCAACAGGGTGGTAACAAGGACACAGAGAATCAGAGGTGTGAAGGTAGACAGTTTTCAAATTAAGATTATTGGAGACCTTTCTTGAAAGTTACTTCATCTGTCCTTAAAGTTATCAAGTCAAATGAGCTGACCCCATGTGTCAGGAGGCTGAGTAGTTATTCTGACAAAGAAACAATGTGGGCAGATGGGGGAAAACACTTTGAGTAGTCCCAGCCACTTCCACCTCCGATTCTAGTCACATCTTACGACAATTGTGGTTATCTGAGAGGTCGTTTCAATTCACTTGACAAAACATACCCAGCTTTCTGAAAAGCTACTTTAGTCTCTCCCACCCCCATGATGTCTCTCTCTAAGAAACCAAATCAAGATAATGTGAAAACATGCTATTTCAACCTGAAACCCAAACTAGCTTGCACTTCACTCAATAAGCCAAGTAGCATATAATGAGAGAGAAGAAAACAAGCTCTTGGTTATCAAATTTCCTTTCCTACCAGTTGTTATTCCTTGGCAACTTCAAAGTCATAAATTATGGAAGACCCACTACACACTTTAAAAGGACCAAAGCAAATAGACAAAATATATAATTTTTTGTAGCAGAGGCTACAAAAAAATATATATTTTTTCCCTGGCCAGGTGCTGCTAGGAGTTTTCCACTAAGCTCTAAGCCAGAAAGCTCCCACGAGATTTGTCATTAACAGCAGCAACACCATTAAATTCTTTTCCAATCTGGGTCATGAGGTCGCAAAACAAATATCAATAAATCATAAAGGTAAAATGATCAACAAGAGCCAGTTAGTTACTGACAGTAATACCATTACATTGCTTTCTACCTTGATCAAAAAAAGTTGTCTCTGGTTCTCCACAGCACAAACTTTACACTGAATTTATGTGGTTTCAGAGCCAATGCCCAGCTCCAAGTATCACCACACTCTTTAATTAGGTTTCATCTTTGTACATCTCCCTCTATTCTTAATCTGACTCAAACTGGGGTTTTGTGGGCCGGCCTGTGGCTCACTCAGGAGAGTGCGGTGCTGATAACACCAAGGCCCCGGGTTCGGATCCCATATAGGGATGGCCGGTTCGCTCACTGGGTGAGCGTGGTGCTGACAACACCAAGTCAAGGGTTAAGATCCCCTTACCGGTCATCTTTAAAAAACAAACAAACAAACAAAAAAAAAACCTGGGGTTTTGAGCTACAGGATGGGTGTGTGGTGGTGGTGGTGCAGGAAGAAAGGTAAAACCCTAAACTGACCGTTCTGTCAATTTTAACAATACAATCTAAGTTTGCAAGACCTTGGAAGACTGCATATAATCTGGCTCTGTAATATGCACTTGACTGGTTCTTGGAAAAATCATGACAGACTTCTGAACTACCAGCATGTGAATTTAGAAAATATGCCAGTTTCAAATAACAAAACAAGACAAACAAACAAGCCTGCCTATGACTTGAAGCTGTGCAGAAAGGTAGCTCTTGAGTTTTTAAGGGAGGAAAATAAGGGGGAGCTACTCTCTGAAGTTGGTAGCTGACTAACCTCTACCACCGATTCCGCCACGACCCATAGCTCCACGCCCTAGGCCCCCTCTCCCAGGACCTCCACGACCTCGAACACCACCTCTTCTTAAGCCCATTCGGGGAGCTACGGCTCGTCCACCTCGGAGCAGGTTTTGACCTTGGAGAGGAGGCATACAATGTATATGCAGGTAAATCCAAGAGAGACAAAGTAGATTCTAACCAAAGGAAGGCAGTGAGGGTTAAATGAGAGTCATTCAGTTTATTTTTAGTATGGGTGGGGCAAGTTACACACTGAGTGTGAACAGATTAAGCTGCTCTTTATTTAATCAATTAAGTCTGACCACAAATCCATTTTTGGAAGAAGCTGGGAGTTAAGATAATTAGTAAGTACATACATTTAATAAGTACCTATTAAATAATCAGATAGATGCCTAGAATTACGGTAGATTTAAAAATAAATGCTACGGTTTTTGATCTCCATACATTCTTGTAGGGGATAAGAACTATACAGGGGACAGAATAACAGTGCCCAAAATGTAACATATAGGTAAGTGCTAGAGGTCAACTTGTCCTCTTTCCCATGTTTTACTAGCACCAGGAACACAGAGATGGTTAGTTAAGATATAGGCCAAAAGACCCATAAATTTCTTAAATTTGACTTATTTCTAGAACTTGAATGTGCTTTGATTCAAGCAGCAGCAGGGTGTTTTAAAATGGGATGGAGATGACATGAATTACCTGTTATGCAGGTCATAGCCTCACCATTGCACATTATCAGAAAAGGAATGGTACTGATAAAAGACATGCAGCACTATTAAAAATATGTGATTTCAAAAGTTATTAATTATATTAATACAAATTCAGGCTTAAAGATGTTAAACAAATGTGTCCATAAGCAGCCCAGAGAAAAGGGAAGGGGATGGGGCCTGATGATGATCAGGTACACAGCACTGACCTCGGAGCGACATCCCGCCCCTAAGTAGGGTTCTGGTAGCACGTCCCCCACGTAGTCCTCCTCTGGGCAAGCCTCTCTGGATTATGGGTAGGCCTCGTCCTCCGATTGCTCCCCTGGCCAGGGCCCCTATGGGTCGGCCTAACCGTGCCTGGATGTTACTCTTACCCAGGCGCTGCTTTAAGCTCTTCTGGAAGAAAAGGTGTTGGGGGATTGAGATCAAAAAAGCAATCCAGAATGCTCTGGCAATTCAAAGTGCAAAGAAAAGAAGCAAGTGAGATGTCTCATGTGGAGGGAGAAAAACCTGCTGTGGGTGTCAAAAGGATCCCAAACCAGAAGCAAGCCCTTGCATCAGAACATGACATAAAAGAAGCAGAATTCTGATCCACAGCAGAAACTCTAAGAAGCTTGAACATGGTCCCATGAAATTGGCATCACCACAAATTACCTCACTAATTTGCCTACAGAAGTCATACACTGCCAGTTGGAACTTGAGTTTTAGGAAGAGCACTCTACAGTTCAATCCTGGATTTTTTGAACTACAGGTTGACAATGATATGACTCGATTCATACCTGCCCAAGGACTATCATTGTCTTCAAAGGCTTACTCAAACACCATAGGAAGATCATCATACTCTGGGCAAAATTTAAATTACAAGTTCACTTGAGTTCTTGTAACTTAAGAACAAGACTGATTTCTCAAAGAGGCCCATGTGCTCCATTTTTTCACTGAGTATCTATCTCCAGAGGGTCCACTTTTGACCTTAAGATGTAAATAAATACAGAGAAGTTAATTCTCCTTTCCTTACATTTCTTTAAAACTTATTTTTGTGAATAGCTAGCTCCTTCAAGCCAGTATAATGACCTTTAATTAAAAATAAACATATAACTCAAATGTATCTTAACAAAGAATCAGCCAAACTTATGTTAGAATTAAGATAGGTGAGCTATATTCACATACTCAGGACTATATATGAGGACAAGGACATACTAGAGAGAGATTTTCAATAATTTATTCCTCAAAGAGAAATCACGAAGACCACATCTCAGAGAATTAAATTCCTTCAAAGAAAAAGGGGACAGTATAGACTTAAACACAACCAAGGCCCTAGCAAGCCTGTTTTTCTATAAAGCCATCAGTCAGTATGAATGAAAATATATTCTATGTGTCCTAAGACTCCATTCACAAGTGACTACAAATGTTTTTTTTTTGGATTTTTTTGCAATCATATCCCTCAAAAAGATGCTGTGAGACATTATTATTAGCTTCCTAGCACAAGACCATATACTGCTTATAATCAGAGAAGGCCCTAAACATCACACACTTAGCGTGATCAGGTGTAACCAACCATAAGGGCCTGTCCTGTCACTCCCTAATCAGCACAATTACAAGGTCAGGACTGCATTCTACAAGTCCCTTGTGTTCAGTTATCCTAAGTACATTTGTTCTCCCAACCTCTGTGCTCTCAAGGGAGAAATGTACAGTGCTGACAAGTTCTTCTCACTTCCCAATCCTTAGCTGACACCTATTCTGGTTTCTAATATTGACAGGAAACTTAAGGATGTCAACTGTATCACCCAGTTTCCACTCTAGAGTTGTGCTGTATGATATGGTGGCCACTAGGCCACATGTGCTATTTAAAAGTTTAAAAACAAACAAACAAACAAACAACCCCCCCCCCCCCCCCGCCGCCTCATGTTACTGCCAAGAAGGGTTGGGCCAGGATAATGTGGAGTCATGCCCAGCCTTGCTGAGATCTTAGAACCAGGGCTGGGTACAAGAACAGGGAATATTAGGTTTAGAAGATTGGGGTTCCATCAGAAGTTTCCATTACCCAAATTATCCTAAGGAAAGAGGAGAAAAGCAGAGTCATTATCTTTTATATGTACATATATACATGTATCATAATTATTTACTGTGTTCCACAAAAAATATGAAAATTCAGACAGAGTTGAATTGATCTGCCTTTTTACTATCTACAACGAAAATTTTTAAGAATTAATGGCTAACAAATGAGATAGCAGATATAGAATATTTTATCATTGTAGAAAGTTCTGTTGGACAGCACTGCTCTAGAGGCTACTTTCTGTAGAGACTATACTTAAAAGATTCTTGTTCAAGGTCCTTTGGAATGATCTGCCAGGGACTTATCTTCAGCAATTTTTATTTACTCTTGGAAAATGATAGTGCTTTTTGCTGCTTTCCTGAGTCAGGGATGAATCCAATCACTCCAAGGCTTAACAAAGCTGAAGCAGAAAGTCTTGTTTATTTTTGGTCAGTGAGCCCAATGGTTTAGGGTGGGGGTGGGAGGGTGTTATATTTAACTGCTGAATTTATGCACAGCCATGCAGTGCTACCAGTTAAAGTTCTTACAGTTGCATGGCACCGCCCTCCAGACGCCCAGCCACAGCTTGGACATATCCTTCCACAGCCTCTGTCCGGACTTGCATATAAAGTCTATGAATAATAAAGAGCAGGTTTTATTTCAGGTCTGAATACGATTATGTGTTACTGGAAATTTGAAAGAGAACCCACTAACCCTGAAGTTAATTCCTCAGTTTTCTTGCTGATAACTTTAGGTGCTGTGGAAATGAAGATCACTCTACTCTTTCTATATTTTAGCACTGAAAACCTTTGACTAAGGCCATTCAGACTCCCTGTGCTTAGGGAGAAAGAATAAAATTATTTCCCCAGTTTGTAAATTATTTAACAGGGAGTAAAGGATGTTTTGAAGGTTATCTAGAACAGAAAAAAAAAATTCTTTATGGAAAAAGCCATTAATCTACTTTAAGGGAAAAGGGACAGGAAACAAAAGAGATTAATACTCATTGATACAGAAACAGGCCACATAGATGACAAATTCCCTAAAAGAGAAAGACAATAAAAAGTTACTTATCAGTACCTGTCAAAACTGGAATTCCCTGAACTTCTCTTTCTTCCAGAGAAGTTTCAGCTTTTGCCCTGAGCCATCCTGTAATCATCCATCACGTCCTGACAGTCTCAGTGGACTGCCTGACAGATCACCAGTTGCTTCTGGAGCATAAAAACCCATTCTCTCACCTGCTTAAGTTTTAATGCTGCCTGGACAGAGGGTCTATTCTCCATCTGCTGGGCCAGTCTTCTGTTTCTGGCACTGGCTAGCTGCTGCTGTTGCTGCATCGAAGCACGAATATTCACTGGCATCGGCTGTTTGTTCTTCAGCATATTAGTAAAGCTTCAAGGTCGAACAAAATGGATGTTTAAATAAAAGCTTTATTACAAAACATTTATTGGCATTTTCATGGCTTGCTAGACCAGGAGCTCCAGATCCCACGAACTTTTAAGTAAAGTGGTACACTTAGATCAAAGCTGATGTGGGTTAAAGACTCCTCTGTTTCCACAAATTTGCAAGAATCAGAAACTTAGAAATGCAGTTAAGTGCAGCACATTCAATCAAAAGTGATAAAAAGGGCTCAGGTAACGGCTTTTAGAGAGATGGAAGGTATGAAAAACACGCAATAAGCAGATACGATGACAAGAGACAGAAGATGTAGTTTCAAAGACAAACGAAGAAAGCCTAAACCTTGGGGTACATTCTAAGGGCAAATATGAAGAGCACTAGGGCACCTTCAAAGCCCATGGAAATAACACACCCATATAAATTATAGGAGTGTATCACATTTTAAAATACATTTATCACTTAGTAACATATGAATATGGATAATTAGGGTATCCTATGCTAAGAGATAAGAAGAGAAGCATATATGCTTTAGAAGAGGTAAAAATAGACATCAAAATAATCTCTTAGTTTGGGGCCGGCCTGTGGCTCACTCGGTAGAGTGCGGTGCTGATAACACCAAGGCCACGGGTTCGGATCCCATATAGGGATGGCCGGTTCGCTCACTGGGTGAGCGTGGTGCTGACAACACCAAGTCAAGGGTTAAGATCCCCTTACCGGTCATCTTAAAAAAAAAAAAAAATCTCTTAGTGGTCTAACACCAACTTACTAAAATCATTAGGCAAAGGGCACTCAATGAACAAAGGTCTCCTATTTAAATATCTTAACTTTCCTAAGTCTCAAGTGATCCCTTCTTCTGACTCAACCAATTACTTCTGAAAGTTAGATTAAATTCAATCATTTAAGAGCCCATGAAGACACTCCTCAGGGCTGGCCCGTGGCTCACATGGGAGAGCATGGTGCTGACAACACCAAGTCAAGGGTTAAGATCCCCTTGCCGGTCATCTTTTAGGATAGAGAAAAAAAAAAAAAGACACTCCTCTATTATTCCTGTCAAGGTAAATTTAGTAGAATGGAAGAGAAGAACACTCAAGTATAAAAGAATCCAAAACAAAAACAAACTAAAAGCAGAGTGGAAAGAAAGTGAAATGGAGCGAAGCAAGTGCCTCTTACAAGGCCCAAGAATGACATTCGAGGGCCTTTGGACATATTCACGGCTTGCTACCTGCCTCTTACAGGCCAGACACAATGCTGCTGGCCTAGGACTGGGCAGCAAGCCTATTGCAGCCAGGGTACCATGCTACCATGCTGCACCACCCCTGTATCAATGTAAAAAAAAATGTGAAGAAAAGGGAGGGTGTGAGGAGTCTTTTTAAAATACATCCCACCAGATATATATTTGACAGCTTAACATAAAAATCTACTGACAAGGGGTTCTGAAACAACCGCCCAATTTGTTGTGTACCACATAAAATGCAATTAAGAACAGAAGTGTGTAGCCTTCTGTTGGTATTTAAACTTAAAACTGTTTTTTGTGTATTGGACCCCAGGGCCAATTTAAGTAATGTTTTCTTAGGAAGGAGCTGAAGTTGCTGTTGGCTGCCTCACCGCTCATTTAGAGACATCTTGGTGGTGCTTTTTAGCACAACTTTCGGCGCTGACTGTGCAGCCATCTTCAAATCCCGAGAATCTACAAAGGACAATAGACAAAACGAGCAAATCAGAATAGTGGCTACCTCATTTCTATAACTGGAAAGGCCCAAACCAGCAATGAATGAAAAGGCTTTATCACTACTGACAATCATATAAAAAACTCATTGGGAATGCTTAGGTTTACACATGACAGTTACCTCAAATTACTAGAACTTCAAGTCACAGGACAGAAAATATCTGTCAAAGTCTCCAAAACAGAAGAACCAAATCTAGCTAAAGGAAGTGTAAGAGTATAGCTTTTAATCTAGAGAAATTATTCTCAACTTTGATATGACTTACCCAGGGAGCTTTTAAACAATACAGATGGTTGGGCCCAGTCCAATTAAACTCAAGCTCTCCTAGGGAGGTGTGGGGATCAGCACGCGGAGGAAAAAAAAAAAAAAAAGGTACCTAGGTGCTTCTTATGTGCAGCTAAAGTTGAGAACCATCCGTCTAGAGAAAAAATACAGGCACGCCTAGTTTCAAAACTGACTTTCAACTCCAAAATCAAGTAGGGGCCTTAGAAGGAACTAAGGATCTGGGGGAGGGAGTAGGAAAGGTTTCCTAAATTGGCATTTGGCTGGGAGTTAACTCCCACAGAACTCTCCACGTAATTTAACCCTAAAGCCGCCATTAATTTCCAACGTTCCCCAAAGTCCTGCAGTCCTCACTTAAACTCCCTACTATCCTCAAAGCCCTGTCATGACCTCCAACTTTGCTCAACCCGCCAAACAATTTTCCTTTTTATCGTACCCCAGCCTCCTCCATCAATCCTGCTACCAGGCTCCAGTTCAGCCCCTCCCCCGCCTGCCTCTCGCCGGCTCCGCCCCCACCCCGAGGCTCCCCCCCACTCCAACACCCGGTCTACATCCACATCTCACCACCCCCATTCCGCGTCCGCCGGCCCCCTCCGCTCCCCAAGACTTCCTTTTTTGCACAGAAAACGCACCGAAGGAAACGGACGCCAGTGCTCCTCCCGGGGCTGCCACCACGGCTGCGGCAGGAGGGCCGGGGACCGGCCGAACCTGAATTGACGATGGAGGGGACTCGGGTTAACTTGCTGGGCGGTTGGTTAGATGCGTAATTGGTAGATTGCGATGTTTATTCGCTGTTGTTTGGCTGTCCAGTCGGCCGATCCGTCTGCTCGCCCGGCCTGCCCTTTCCTGCCTTTCGCCTGTGCCACCACAGCTGCTTCCACCAACTCCCGCTCGGTGTCCAAAACAAAATGGCTGCCACGCCCAGTGCAGAGTGGGACCGGCTAAAATGGCGCCGACGCAACTACGTCAGGCGTCAGATCCGCGCACAACTAGGGGGCGGGAAAGATTGGTGCTACGCCTGCGCTGGGGTCAGAGGCGGAACCGTAGGAGAAGGCGGGGCTTCAGCAAAGATCGCTTTAGTTACACGCGCGGCTCTGCCCGCCAGGGGGCGTGGCCACCGGCTTAGCGGCTGGGCCGTGTGGGGATTCGCGCGCTAGGCGAGGGTGCATTGCAACCTCCTGGGATTGCTTGTAATGTGGGCCGCAGAGAGCGGATACGGTCCGGGTGAAAAAAGTGTTCGTTTGTCATTTCACCGGCTGCCCAGTCAAGGCAGGCTGTCTAAAAATCTTTACCCGAGACTTGCCTCTGTCTCTTCCGGCCCACCGGGCCCGGGTAGTTTATACCGGCTTTCCCTTTGTCTCCATTCGCCATATTCAGAAAGTTGTGAAGTGCCATAAATACCCCCCAAATCAAGGCCCTGGAGGCTAGTACTGGGAGCACACCTCTAGTGGATCTTGCACCAACCACCACCGCCTGTCCGTATTTTTCTCTTCACTTCTTCCCCTCCCCATCTTGGCCTGAATATTGTTTAATTCTTCTTTACGGGGGATCTATGCATCCCTGATCCCCCTTCCATGCCCTACCTTCCCACCTGCACTGCGTGTGGATTTTGATTCAGACTTACAAAGGGAATTTTGTTATGGCTGCGTACACAGTAAAGCGCTCGAGTGTTTGAAAAATGAGTGAATGAACACATCTTCAACCCTTCTGCCCCATACGCGCCTGAGGACCCTTTCCTTTTCCTTCCTGTCATATTATGTGTGTGTGCGTGTTTAATGGCTTCCTTGCTGGACTTTACCCATGTGAGGGTAAGGATTGTGTTTATTTTGCTCACCACTGTACCCCTTGTTCCTACACAACGTCTAGCACATGATAGGAGCTCGGTAGATATTTGCTGAAGGTTGAAAGGAGATTCTTTCTTCTGGCTTTATAGCTGAGAAGCTGACGTCTTCTCCACTTCCAACTGGAACACTGAACCTCCACATTCCGTAGGCCTTGAGCATTCCTCAGGAAGAAAGGCATAATGTACAGACCTCTCCCCAAATAAGACTCCTCCCCAAATATAGGGAGTTGGGAGTGAGCAGACCTCACTTCTCTCCCCTGTCCCCCTTTTCAGACCGCAGAGGAAACAGACATCGGACATCGGACATCGTATGGTTGGCGAGAGAGGAGTCTTTAATGAAAGAAGAGTTGCAGGCCTGGACCGCTACTTTTGCGCCCTTTGTGTGTGTGTTGGGGGGGGGGGGGGGGGGAGGGGAAGGGGGGGGGGGGGGGGGGGGGAAAAG